ATGTCTCAATCCTGGTTCTTTGTTCGTTTCATATTTATTTTTACATTTATGCTAGTCCTTTGGTTTATATATATATATATATATATATATATATATATATATATATATATATATATATATATATATATATATATATATATATATATATATAACTATTCTAACAAGAGAAATGTTAAACAAGAATACTTGCATAATAGACAAAACCCAAGATTCAAGAAGATTACAAATTCTTGAGGCAATTCACATAAGAATAGAGCGACCTACCATGAACACCCAAATCACGGAACTATTTACTCTACCCACCATGAGAGTAAGGACAAGACAAGAACATATCGATGCCAACACAGAAGACAATGTCCAACATAACAGGCCAATTACACTGGATTAATCTTTGTGTTTAGATAGGAGATGCCTCGTATGGGCCAATAAGCCTTCTGCAGCCCCTATGTTTATCCCTTATGTATCACCCCATGTTTTCGCCTTAATTGTATTATCACCTGACCTAATGCGGGTATAAAATCAACTAGTATTGTAAGATCTGTTCACTTGAGAATGAACCATGGAGGTTCGAAACGTCGTGCAAATTATACAAATAAGTGTAATACACTCTATAGTAAATCACTTCTTTTCTTCACCTTAAAAGTACGAAAATGAGTTTTGGAGAACTCCTATTTCAATTAAGCCCTGATGCTAAGAAAATAGTTAGAGGGATAGAAGCCCTAAACCAGAAAATAATAAATACAGAATATGCAGTCATATTCAATGAAACATATATATATATATGTATATATATATATATATATATATATATATATATATATATATATATATATATATATATATATATATATATATATATATATATGCAACAATGATCACAAAAACACTGATCCAAGTATGCAGAATAACCACATATGAAAAATAGAAAATGCTTAACGCGTTTTCGGCTAATCCGCCTTCATCAGAGCAAAGTAGAATGAGGATAAGATTGCTGATCAGACCTTTATATCCGCCTGGGCAGATCACCTGACCACCAAAAATAAGTGGAGGAAAGGAATTATAAGAAAGAAGGTAACTGCAGAAGGCCTATTGACCCATACAAGGCAGCTCCTATTAATATCTCCAAGTGCCATACGTGTTTAAATGATTGCTATATTGATATATACATATATACAATATATATGTATATATATATATTGTATATATGTACATATATACATATATATATGTACATATATACAAACACTCCATCAACTCCCTAAAGGTAAACAATAAGAACCTCCTCTCTACTCCTGGAAGCTCACTACCGTGATCGTCTTCAGGCTCTTCCACAATTATCTTCCAGGATCCTCTACAGTTCTTCCAGGCTGTTGCACCATGAAGTTTTCCTTGGACTCCAATGGTACTCCACCACTGATTCCACAGAAGCATGTGAGGCTTCACTTCACTGCTTCTCTTCACACAGTTTGAGGTCCAGTTCCTCACTATGGGGCTTAGGCTTACAGGTTCCGGAAGATGAGAGGAAATTTCAACACTGTGGAGAAATGTCCGACAAACCACTGGAACATTATCTAACACAGTGCACAGTTAAAAACCCATTAAGATTTCAACATAGATTCAACAGAGCAGAAGTTTTTAAACACATATGGCAAAATCTTACTGAAGCGACCATACGAGTAATAAATACTCATACTCCGCCCAAGTAAAACAGAAACAAGCAACACTTAGTGGGCCAGCCAGAGGCTTAGGGCCCGCGCAGGAATATCCCTGAAAAAAAAATTATGGGGCTTGTTCTTCCACAGGATACAACATCCACTCCTACAACCTTAAAGTTCCACTCATCAGTTCTAACATATCAATAAACACTTGCTACGGCCGCTAGGCACACGACTAACTACAGGCAATCACCGTTAACTGGTTAAAATGTGCTTACCACAGAAATTGTTTCCAGCGAGGTCGTTCACTCGCTGACGCTTTACCAGGGCGCTCACACAGCTGCCCACGAAAATGTTTCAGGACGGCTTCACAACTCTTCCTGCCGTACAGGACTTCAGCCCACACGTTTCCAAATTGATTCCACAGCTGAAACGTCTGCACACTTCCTTCCTCTAGAAGGTATATCAACCAGGGGGTTCTTCTCTAACAGGAGCTTAATGGAGCGCGACTTTCCCCTCATGATTTCTGGTGCTCAAGTGAGGTCAACGTCCTCAGAAGCGAGCCTCACACCCCCAGCAAATTCTCCACATCTCATGACCAGTCATTTATTTATATTCTTATTCACTGCCCATACTTGCAAACTATTTGTCAAATTATATCGAGTGTTTACTATATAAATATCCAGGTCTATCTCTCCTTAACCTCTTAGTTAGGTCAGGCCTGGCAGAATAACTCTCAAGGGGAGACTCGTTTCTCCTGCAGCCTGAGATCATAAAAAAATAGGAACAGCAAGTCGGAGAGCCACAGCAATTCGGAGGGCCTGCGGTATGAGACAAGTGCCGGTTGCTGACATTGGCGTTGCTAATAGGAAGTCACCTGCATGGGGAGCAGCTACAGCTCTATGTCGGGCAGTGTCATGTGGTGTTGTCGTAGATTCTAGGAATGTCGCAGGTTCTTCTTCGACAATGGAGCAATCCCCGCTGCATTGCTTATGGGCTTCAGAAAGTGGTGGTTGGGGTGCTGGTCCTGCGGGATAGACCCATTTCGTGGTGTAGTTTGTAAAGCTGGGATCATGTACCCCTGAGTATTGAAATATTTTCTCGGGTGGGATTTCCTTCACCCGGTTGTCAGATGCCACTGAAAAAAAAATTAACTCTCCCAAATGCATTCTTTATTGCTATTCTAACGCCTGAACACGTTTCGTAATGCTTATTAAATTTTCAAAGACAATGTTGTTGGTGTTAAAAACCTGTTAATTAAGTATTTTCTTGAAAGTCTTTGAAAATGTAATAAACGTTACGAAACGCGTTCAGGACTCAGACCAGAAATAAAGAATGAATTTTGGAGAGTTACTTTATCAATTACTCTCGACAGTGAAGAAGAATGTAAGAAATATTGAAAAGATTCGTGCTAGAATTATTAATCTTACCCTTTTGGTCATATTTAACACACACACACACAAA